ACAAAAAACACATAAATTCTGAAAATCCTAAAATCGATGAATTAAGATTAGGGAGGAAAAAAAAGAGGGGATGCAATTGATCCTTCAAGATACATGCCAATGGTGGAGATGTTGGAAACCATACGGAGGGGAACCATGAACCGTGTAAGTTGCTCTGAGGTATAACAAGGCAGTGAAGCATAATGGCAGGTTTTGTGTAAGAGCAGGTGATATCATAGCTGCCGAACAAAAAAAATTGAAGTTTTGCAAGATGATTCTAGGAGAAGATGGTAGGTTTAAGTGCTTGAGTCTGTAAAGGTTACAATGTCAATATGTCACAAAGGACATATGTCTGCCGTAGATGGGAAATGAGTGGAATCCTTTTTCGTCATGCATTAAGAGTCATTGCAGAGAAGAAACTCAATTCAGATGACTACACTGAGAATTGGTACCTGACATCACGATGGGAACATATTTAGAGAGATTCTATTAGGCCAGTGAACACTTATTTCTTCTGGGAAAGAGACGATTCTCATATAAAGCCACCACCCAACTTAGTTGAAAAAAACAAGAAACAGAATAGGGAAAAAGCCGAAGCCAAAGAGGAAGAAAGGGAAGCATGAGTCACCAACAAAGAAGAAGAAGCTTACAAGGATTGGAAGATTTATGCATTGTGGAAACTCTAGAGAAGATGGACACAATATATTGAAGTGTCCAAAAGATGGAGGGCAAGCTAATAGGCCAAAGAAGAAATCTAAGGAAATACAAGATGGTGGAACCCAAAATGGATATGATGGTGAATCAAGTCAACCTATGAGCCAAAGCCAACCAATGAGTGAAAGCCAAAATCCTTGTAAGCTTCTTCTTGTTTAGTTTTCTTCATCTTTAGTTTCTGAATTTGAGTGTATGACTTTTGTGTTTACGGAGGGATGAAGGTATAGATCTACTGATGGTGATGGTGTACAGTTTTTGGAAGAATTCCCGATGATGAAACAGAAGATCGTCAAGCTTGGTGTAGGTTTAGGAAGGTCCAAGACAAGTTTGTTTTTATTCGATTTTAGTAAATGCTTTGTTCTCTTTACTGTTTAGACCAAGCTTTTATTCGGTTTAAGAACAAGTTTATTATGTTGTTTTACTCAAACATGGTTTAGGACAAGCTTTGTTCTCTTTATGGTGTTGTTGGTTTTACCGGTTTTACCTTAAAACTCATAACCTGAAACGTAATTCATGATCCCTTTTGTTTTTTTCAGAATTCATCATCCCTTTTATTTTCATAATTTCAACATGGTTTATCTTAAAACTCATAACCTGAAACATAGTTTATCGCCATAAAATTTTACTACAAGCAACATGTTTCTATGAATTTCAAATATCAAACTCATGATTATAATAAATTGGACACATAAACAACAATTCTCTCCAGTCTAAATTACTTCAACCGACTCAAAGTACAAACAAGTGAAAGAGAAAAATAACAACCACACACACAATCATGTTCTTCAAACTACGAAGCTCCATTTTGTAATCTCGAATCTCCTTTTCAACAACAGCCTCACAAGTTCTTGTCTCCATTTCCATAGTTTTGATCTCTAATTCACAAGCTCCTAATGCCTTTTGTAGCTTAACCGAAGCTCCTTCGACATCATCTATTTTTTCTACCAAATCCTCAAGCTCTTCAACCATACACTCATCAGTCCACTTAAAAACATGCACCGTTTATTCTGTAGAAACATGAAATGACTTAAACACATGAAACCAAACCAATGCACCATTTAAACTCAATTACTCCTCTTTCTCCTCTCTAGTATTAATTCATCGATTCCCCTTTCTAGTCACAATTTAAACACCGTTTTCCCCAACACAAATCTATTTTACTTAAGAAAAGACATAGACATATCTCCTCTGATCCATTTTGACAAGTATGAAACAGTCTTCCAGGAATTCTAGCAGTCCTAGACGTCTTCATTACATGTCATAGGGAAGCCTCTTCGAAATTTAGCCATTGTAGTAGACCAGTTGTCTCCTCTTTTTCATCTCTAATCTTAATTCATCGATTCCAGGATTTCCAAAATTTGAGTGTTCTTTGTCGAGAAAAAGAGAATGAATAATGAATTTGGGGATTTAGGGATTTAGTGATTTTAATTTCAGTTTTCTTCTAAATAAAAACGATGTCGTTTTGATTATGTGTAAGAAACACCGTCGTTTTGAACAAACAAAATCGTGTTGTTTGTCTACGTGTCATCCATGTCACTGTTCCGTTAATGATGACTTGGTCAAAGTCTAAATCGACACTAAGATCATGTGTACAAGTATTGAATTTGAATTAGTTGTGAGTTCGGATTTAAATTGGTCAAGGATAAAAAATCAGATATAAAAATGCACGATGGCAATGGTTCTGGTCCAAATAGGCCATTTTCCCCTTCACATATATATATTACCGTTTCTATTGTTAGTTAGATAATAATAATGAAGATATCAGTTGACGGAAATATTGATCCAAATAAGCTCTTGCAACCTAGAATTAAATAGTTTTGGGTGCGATCAAAAAGAAAAGTTTTAACAAACAAACCAACAAAATATAATAGTTTTACGAAAACATGGCATCATGTAATGTTTTTTTGTTAAAAAAATGTAATAGGTGACATAATGTTGTTCTTTGATATTTATGAATAGATCGGTATATCATTACTTGTATTAAGGATCTTTATCTTTAACCACACCTAAAAATTGATTCAAAAATTGTGAAGACCATGGCGCGAACCAAGAAAAATTCATATAAAAGATCATTTGAAATTATTTAGTTTTAATTATATTTTCGTACTTAACACATGTTGAATTTCATTAAAAAATAAAGAAACAAAACTTTTACTGACACCGTTGAACGAGAGACGAACTCTTCATGGCTTCATCAAGTTAATCTATCAGACTTGATGAAGAATAATTCTAGATTTAATTATTATAAGTTTTGAAGCAATTACAGAGCAAAAGTGTAACTCTTTTGTGTCCATACGATCGAAGCTCTTTCCTAATCCGCATCATAATTCAAAGCAAAATTGCATCTCCATCCCATTGTTGGATATTTGGAACCACAATTGAACTCTTAGTCAATAATTTGATATATTCTGGTTTTATGGTTTCTAACATGGTTTTCTCATTACAGTTTTATGTCTTAAGTGATAAATTTAGTCAATTTCTAGTGTTTATAATATTTTACAGCTCAATTGGACAATTATGAAGCATCACATGCCAGGCAACCATTGGAAATATTTCTATTATTAGATTGAGCTGAAATTAAGATACAAGATAGCTATGTGAGTCATCTTTTCATCCACAATTTGTTTGAGATCATTTGGATAATATCAAGAAGTTATACTACTTCTCCTGAAGACATATCATTCTTGTCCGCGAGGGAAGCATGTGCAGAACAAAGACCGGACTCAAGGACTGGGCACAGCACAACAAGAACGTGTATTCACTTATCAATGCCGCTTGAAGATCGGGTGGATGGACCGGACGCAAAGCTCCTTGCATGAGTCTGGTCCACTATAGAGAAAAGTTGTGATTTTTCTAATTCGTTCAGGACTTCTCCAAACTGATTCAGACGAGATCTAATGCACGATTTTAGCTACTTTAGACATAACATAAGTCTGATATTCAAGTGCTTTTTTCTTATTCCGTTTTGAGTTTCAAAGGAGAATATCTCAACTATGTATTTCTGATAGAAAAAAATTTGAGACCTCGTACTTCTGATTGAGTTTTATTAGATTTCTACTTCCTCATCTTCTTGCTTATTTACTTCAAAAATGTATGAGTAGTCATCTAGTCAGATTAAAGAGATTCAAAGATTTTTGATGGATTGTTAACTTGATTATTGCTGAAGATTTACATACGGTTCTTAACGTTGATTTATTCTTAATGATGATTGTTTGATTCCGCACCTTGCAGCTAAAATTTGGGTTTAACTTTTCAAAATATTGATAAATCGTTCGAACTAATCTAGATAGTCTAGACGCTGTAACATGTGAGGGTTGATATCTTATAGAGTCTAGTGAACAAATCGAACTTGGACTTTACTACACGTTTACTTCATAAGAATCAGATGAGATTTTAGAGGCTTGTGTTGTTAGACATAGTGGTTTGCACTACGAAAGTAGTCCAATTATACAAATTATGCTTTGAGTAATAGAACGGATCTTAATCTCTTTCCTCTCAAGTAATCAGATTTTATGTGATTAAGGATTCTATCTGATAACCCTGATACATGCTTTTCTCTCATTGATTTTCTCACATGTTTTTTATTACTTATTTGTCTAATTTTATTGCAATTTTCATGATATATATTATCCACAAATAATATTTTTCATCCTAATTTTTATTTTCTCTCGCAAATTTGTAGTGTGAAAAATTTAGTCATTTGGGTTTCGATAGCTCTTATATTATTGCGCCGTTGTGCATTTCAGTAATTGATGCCATGGGGTTAAAATTTGAGCATATCATAATAAGATCAGATTTGGTAGAGCCCAGTCCATTAAATAGTTTTCAAGCTTCCTAGTGAGGGGCACTGATCCACCCTCTCTAATTAGCACACCGTCTTCTCCTTTATAATACTGTCTTAAAAAAGAATCGCTACCGGCTTTTATTCTATTCAAAATATTTATATGATAAAAAAAAATACTATAAAACTATTAAAAAGACTATGATGACTGTAAGACAAAAAAGATGTTGCTAAGATATTTATGAACAAAATCCATATAAAAATATATCGTTGATTTGTATCTACAGTTAATCTATAAGCCCCTTATCTATGCCGCAATTTAGTAAACAAATATAATGAATGTAAGAAATTTTTTTTTTCTATCTCATATACATACACATATACATTCCTGAATTTGAATTGGTTGTAAGATCTAGTCAAAACTGGGTTTTGTTCTCAACATATAATATAGTTGGGGACATAACAACACCATTAACACTGTCTACAACCTTTTTCAAAGTCTCATATTCCTGGCTT